CCATTATATCACACTTATCGCTTAAAGATAACATGTCAAAAAACAAAATAAAACTTGATTCTGAAGTTTTAAATATGCTAAAAGCTCCTCCAAAATCATTTAGTGTAGGCTCAGTTTCGTCTGATTCGGACGCTGATTAATTATATTTCTTTGTCTATTGTTTTGAAGTTTAGTTGGGTTATTTTTTGTTTCTGTGTGTGTTTATTTTTTTAATTTATAATAAAATAATGCTAACATATTACTTTATCGTTTTTAAATTATCATACAGCAACTACAAGTCAATTCAACGGTGCTTCTAATTAATTCGCGCTAAAATTGCTTTCTAGACCACTGTGCGCCGCAGAGGTAAAAAACATCGTCAACACTGTCAGTTGTCTTTTAAAAAAGAAAATATACCTAATTAGTGCTAATATAATATATTAGTAATATTGAGCATTAATCCACTGTAATAGTAGGTATATCAAGTTTTATAAACGCCATTTTAGTTACGAGCAAAGGTTGCAAGCGAGTGTCTAATAAAAACGAGTGTTTAGAGAAGTTTATAAAACAAGTTGCATACTATAGCGACTTTATCTACGACGAGAACAAAACAGAATTTAAAGCCAATTTTACTTGTTAAACAATTGACATCTGTCAACTCTCAACGGATTTAACCTCACTTTTTTCCAATTTACCATGTGTCCCACTTTCCATAAATCCACCCTTATATCTCAGTTATTAATAATGCGATTTTCTTCAAATTTGGGTGGTGATTGTATGTTGGAGAAATAAAATATTTGCCATAGTAAATTTTTTTATTTATCATTGGCGTACGGTGTTAGGGGGTAAAAGAGAGTCGATTTTTCGGCAAAAGAATATTAGGGCTTATTTTAGATAATTTTTTCAATAATATTTAGATTCAGCATCCCCGAAAACCCCTTAATCCATATTCTCAAAATCTCAAAAACTGATTATGTCAGAAACGAAAAATTAACTAATTTATCAAGACACCTTTTAGTTTTTAACAACTTGCCTATTTAATTGCAATAACAAACCAAAAATTATTTTTTTTAAATTCTGGCCTCTTTAACATGACCACCTTCCAAAACATAACCCTTCTCAACAACTTTTCCTAACCGTTCACTCACTTTTGTGTATAGAAAAAAATCACAAGGGGTAATATCAGGCGATCTAGGGGGCCATAATTCTAAAGGGCTATTTCTATCTATCCACTTCATAGGGAAATTTTCATTTAAAAAATTTCTCACTATCAGTGAATTATGTGCGGGGGCACAAACTAATTGATATAAATTTTCTCTCTGTGCTAAGAGCAATTCCATTAAAAAATCATGAAAATGATTTTGTAAAAAATGTAGAAAATTTTCTCCTTTGAAATTATCCAGAAAAAAGGGGCCAACAATTCGTTCGTTTAATATGCCTTGTGGTGTGTTATTTGTTTACTGTATTGGTTTTTACAATTAATTACAAAGTTGGGATTTTCAGATGCCCAATATCTAAAATTTTGACTAGACACCACACCGTTTGTGGTAAATGTTGCCTCGTCAGTAAACATTGCGTTCTTTAAAAAATATCTATCGTTAAGATAGATATGTAATTACATATCACCATCTAAGAGAGTATCTAGAAATGTTGGCTTAAATGCCTTAATCCTATTTAAACTCCTTCATATTTTATTTTTGGTTAAATTTATCGTCCTCGCAATTGCCCTTATACTACCATTTGGATTGTTCCGAAATTCTGCTAAGATGCGTTCGTCGTCAGGATATTGTCGATTGAAACTTTCTTGGTATTATTTTCAACACGGCTCCGGTTCTTGCAAACAATTTGTTGATGTTAGCAACGGTTTTGTGCCAAATTGCTGCACGATCCTGATGACGCTGATTAAATATTCAAGCTACCTGATGCGTAGATCTTTCATTATCACCAATTAAGCGGATAACTTTTTTCTTCAATTGTAAGAACAACTCTCTGATTTTGTGCCATGTTATTAATGCATTGATAAATAACATTGTTTAACTTTTGACAATTCGTACGAATTGCCAAATGTTAAACAAAAACTTATGTTTCAAAGAACTCTTTGATTGAATAGGCACTGGTCAGCTTATGTCTTGTGTCTTAAATAGTAAATTAATTAATTTGTTTTCTGTCTTAATCAGTTTTTGACATTTTAAAAATATGGATTAAGGGGTTTTTTGGGATTCTGAATCTAAATATGATGAAAAAAAAAATCTAAAATAAGCCGTAATACCCTTTTGCCGAAATATCCACCCCCTTTTACCACCTAACACTGTAGGCCAATGATAAATAAAAAAATTTACCCTTGCAAATATTTTATTTCTTCAACTTAAAATCACCACCCAAATTTATAGAACATCGCATTATTAATAACTAATTTATGAAAAGCGGGACACAATGTATAATAAATCCAACTTTACCCCCTGACTAAAATGCAAAAAAGCCACGATTGCTAAATTCAGCCTGTGACTAAACGCCATAAAGTCACAGGTTATCAATCGGGGTAGTATATTATGTATCAAGTTTGATAAACGCCATTTTATACACGAATTTAATTTAGGCACGAGCGAGCTTGCGAGGGAGTGCTTAATTTAATGAGTGTATAGAAAAGTTTATAAACGAGGTGCATACTATACTTTTTCTACGACAAATACTTATTATTATCTTAAAATGATTTAAATCAAAATTTTGTATACTGTAAAGGTGCCTATTATGAGACAGTTTCTAATATGAGACACCGAGCTTTCTCGCAAATTAGGCCATTTTTTAAAAAGAGCGCCACTGTTCTATATTAACGGCAGATCACTGTCTATTCGTATGTTAACAGCAGTCGACTAGTCGCGTAGCGCGGGAAAGCAGTCAGCTGTGCCGCAAGTTACTGTGCGCCGCTCGCGAAAGTTTTTGCAGCGATTATTTTAAAGGTATGTAAAAAATAGAAAATAAGTAACAAGTTAATGTTGTTTATCATTACCATAAAGCTAACATGACGTAGTATATATTTATCATGCCGTTGAGTCAATTCTTATCATGCTTTTACCGACTTACCCAAACTGTATAAAATTTCTTCAGACCCTAATATGAGACACTGGAGAACTCCTAATATGAGGTATCTCATATTATGGGACAAGGCGTCGCATATGAAGGGAAAGCAGCTAGTTTGATAACATCTTCTCCGTATAAACTACAAATAGAAGAAGCTTTAAAGAGAAAGGAAGAAAATGAGGCGAAGAAAATGAAAAAAAAATCCAAAGCAAGAAGCAAAGGAAAGTACCACCGAAAGAAAAAAAACTGGGAAAAAGCCTGTAAAAAGGAAAGTTCTTGCTGAATTATCAACATCCAGCGAAGATGATGACGTTATTTCGTGGACCAGTAATTTTTCTTCAGAAGACGAGGAAGACGATGCAGAGTGTTCATATTGCACCGGTTTATATTCCGAAGATACGCGAGGTGAAAAGTGGGAGAAATGCCAGGCCTGTTTCAAATGGGCACATCTGCAATGTGGGGAAAAAATCAAAAAAGTTTATTTGTGCCGTTTGTTGTTAAGGTTAAAAACCTAAGCTTTTTTTAAATTTTGCCGCAGACATATATTTATATTTATTTTATATTTGTTTAAAAAAAATGTTAATTTGTTTTAAGAAGAAAATATTATTTTGTTTTGGAGAAAACTATAACTAATTATGTTTTATGTTCTACTATTTATTCAATAAAAATATGTTTGAGCCAATAATAGGCCATTTTCAGTTTGATTCCCTAATTTGAGATAGTCTCATATTGAGAACCCATACTGTCTTAAATTAGGAACCCCTTTTTTGGTTAGGCAAATTTGACATTTCTGACAAAAACTAACTTAAAAACTAAAATACAAGTTTGAGGCGTTCTCGTGTTTTTCTGATGAAACTAGATTAAATTCTATACAGAAAAAAGTTTTTTTTTCTAAGAAAATTGTTAAATTAATTAAAATATGATTTAAAAAAAAGGCGTCTCATAATATGCATCCTTACCCTATAGCGCCATCTATGAAACAATAAGGGAATCTGTGTGTCACCGTCAAATGTCAATTTTTTTTTTATAAACACAGATTATAAAGGTTATAAATCGAAATGTATTTCTTAAAAATTGACAGTTTTCACAGTGAAAGTAAAGAAAATGTTTTATGAGCACTTTACAGTGGAGTCCGTGTCCGAATTTAAGTTATAGTTTACTGCCGGCGAAATTAAAAGGTCAGTACAATGTTCATATAAACTTTTCAAATATTTGGGTTGAGAAACTATTAAATACTTTTGTATTTTTGTATTGAGATAATAAAATAATTTTCACATTTAGTATTAGAAAGGCACTTTATTTTAACGATTGTATGACATTTGACAACTGTCAACTAACTTAAAACTAACTTCGGCCAGTGACTAAAAACCTGTTGCTAACTTCAGCCCGTGACTAAAGCGCCATAAAGCCACAACTTGTCAATGTGCACATTTTTATATACATGTATATAAAAGGTCACTTAGTGTCATGGAAACATGTACGATAAAGGGCGTTTTAAAGGTGGGAGTAGAAAAATACTTTAATTTATTTGTAATTCCATACAAAAATACGAACCTAATATTATATATAATGATAATTAAGATAAAATTATTAAAACCTAATAATATTAAATTATAGTCTAATTGAGATTAAAAATAATTACCTACTTTAAACTTTGCCCATCAGAAATATACATGTATGTACCTTTTTAACACATTGTGTTTAATGTTTTATTTTAGCAAAACTAAATTTAATTTACTATTGCGTTACTAGCGCAGCGTTACTCGCAGCCAAAATAGGTATTTTTATACTAATGTGAATTCATATTCACATTGCCATGAACGCATTATATACATGAACGTTTAATGTAAATACATTAAACGTATGGTAATATAAACTACTTAATACTATAAAGTTTTGTATATTATTTCAAAAAGTGAACGCTGTACCTACATATTATCAAGGTAACATGCACCCAACTGTCTAGAAAAATTATACCTACGTATTGGATATTATTGTCGATAATAATTGGTATATTTTTTGTTATGTGTTTTGTACGCCGACAATCAATTTCATCTTTAACCAACCACTATCGGTGGTAACGTAAAAAATGTTGCAAATTCATCATGTTCCAGTTATTATATTAAATTCTTTATTAGTGACGACGATAACCACGTAAGTAACTTTCATATTTCCTTTTACTTATGTAAATTGAATACAATCGATAAGAACTGGGTCCGGTCAATGATAATACATTTTGTGGCACTTTGGTTTATTAAAATAAACTTATTGCCAGACAAAACATTTTAACAGTATAGTAGTTAGGATGTTTGCGAACTATGACCCTTTGTATTACAATTTTAAATGATTTTGGTTCAATAAATATATTATTATTATGACAGGTTTAACATCTGTCCGTTTTCCTTTTACAAAAGAAGTTGAATCGTCAAATACCAAAGTTTTTGAATATCCCGAGACTTAAACCTAAGAATTCTAATCAAGTCAAAGCGAAAAAAACCGATATAGACATGTACAGTAATGTACAGTAATAACATATGTTATTGTCAGTACACCAAGTACACCATTTCAATCCAAAGAGCTAAATAGCAATTAGAGAAAACAGATAACTGAGTAAAAATTCCTTCCTAAATCTATTTTTCCTCAGGTAAAGACAGTCTTGTTAAAATTTGAACCCCCCTCGTATTAACTTTAATAGTAGGTAATGGTGACCGGATTCAAGGCAATACACCTATTGTCAATTTTGATATGCCGTTACAAATTCTTAGTGAAAAATGTGTTTTATTTTAGTGCAATTTAACCCAGCATAATATTTGACCTCTTTAAGACATTTTTTTGTATAAAAATGACTAATTTAGTCTTTATATGGTGTAAATATTACTATGTAACCTGGACTAGTCCAATACCTTTGTAGGTCATTTGTGGAAAATCAATTACTTTACTTTACTTTACTTTACTAAAATGCCTCAACCTTGCCTAAATGCTTTTCTTAAATGCTAAAATGCTTACCTAAAGTGCCTAAATGCTCGCCTAAAAAAGAAAACATAAAGCCTTCTTAGTAATTTTAATTTTTTTAATTTTATATTTTTTAATGACTGTGCCTTACCGTTAAACAAATTATTAAAGTAAAACTTTTGAAGGTGATGCCAGGAATCGAGTTTTAGAGTAATTATTATTGGTGTTGTTCAGCCATTCCACGCTACTCGGGAATTTTTGTAGCGTCCGTTACAATAAAAAATTGTGAGTAAAAGCTACCGTAATTAAATTAAATACTATTACAATAGTTACTATTGCAAACATGTTTATTATGCTTGTAATAATTAGGCTTAAGCTTATAAGCATCATAATTACGGTAGTTTTACTCACAATTTTTTATTGTAACGGACGCTACAAAAATTCCCGAGTAGCGTGGAATGGCTGTGTTATAACAATAATATATTATATCATTTATTTACATATTTCATTATTTTCTGTAACAAACAGAATAAAGGATCTTGGCATATATTTTAATAGCAATTTGTATCCCGGACATTTAGCATTTAGTCCCTATGTAAAATTGTCCGCTAAATCCAAAAATAAAAGTAGAACAGTTTTTGATATATCAGTTTTTGAGATATTGTAAATTTAATATTATATGGAAAATTGACTATATATATATATAGTCAATTTTCCATATACCTAATATTAAATTTACAATATCTCAAAAACTGCTCTACTTTTATAATTTTTGACAGTTTTTAGGTTTCAGGGTAGAATTTTACACAATAACTTTCTGTGGAATGTCTGGGATACAAATTGCTGTGAACTACATTTATTAGTGACTGCTTCACTTTGAAAACTAGTCATTTTTAAGTAATTCATTTTAGAGAGTATATATAACATCAGGGTCTATCAAAATGCTAGGCTTTATGGAAAGAAACACCAGGGAGTATACTAACCAGTGGCGTATTTAGGATTTAGCTCCGGGGGGGGGGGTCCAAAAAAACTAACTAAATATGTAGAGGAAGTGAGGGTATTTTGGAATAGTAGTTTAAAAAAAAAATAGCAAAGAATTTAAATTTAAATTATTTCGATTAAAATAAATAACATGTCCAAGATCTACATTTGCCATACGAAAATTTTAAACTATTTAAAATACTTTAAAAGGATTTTTTCACCCATGAAAAAAAAAGTGTAAAAAATCTCTGTTTACGTAACATGAAGTTAATTTGGAATACCGCCAATTTGGAATATTTCAAAGTAGCAGCAAATGTTTTATATTAAAAAGGTTAATAAAACATTTTAAAAAGGTAACCAAATATTAATTAAAAGAGAAAATTGGATTGAATATCAAAATTACAAAAAATGAATATAATTTGGAATATTTCAAATTTGCATTATTTATAGTATTCCAAATTAGCAATATAAAGACCTACGCCATAATATGTAAAAAAAAGTAAATGCTTTAACATATCGAAAAAGTACAATTAACAACTAAAAATATAACCCTTTACTTACCTGAGGATACAATTTAAGTTAATTTAAAGATAAAAATCGAAGCTATAATTGCCGATTTATTTACCACTAAAAAAGTTTTAGTTACCCCACAATTAATTTTTCACATGTGTTGGCCCTCTACCATAAATCAAAATATCTACAAAATCACATGTCCACAAAATAGAGGCTATTCTAGTAGTTTATTTCATATTTAACGAGATGGCGCTAAGCATAGCTTCAATATTTAAGTATTCCAAATTACCAACACTATTTCGAATTACCCCCACTTCCTCTACTATGCTATGCTAAGGAAAGAGACGCCACTCTTTTTCACGCACGCGCTATCTATTCATGGTATAGTTCTATTTCTGTTCGCGCCTCGATCATAACGACCCGAGAAAGAGGTAGGAACGATATACCTACAGGGTTGCCAAACCACCTCTTTCTCTTTAATACGTAAGTAGTTGATTTTTGATTTTAATTTTAATGAAATATAATTAATAAATAATAAAGTACGTTGACAGTCTTGAGGTTTTTATTTTTTTTAAACTTTTTTTTGTAATACAAATAATAAAATATGTGTGCCCGGGGGGGGTCCGGACCCGGCGGACCCCCCCCTAAATACGCCACTGATACTAACTAGCATGGATATTTTAAATACATTATATTTTTTTCTCATAAGAACTAAATTAGATTGTGCATCACTAATATCCATATTATAATAATCGGATAAATTTAGCATCTGTTCAGCGCCGTTTTATTAAAGTTTCTATGGTATAAACTCTATACTATAGAGTCTATAGTCTATCCACAGCCAGGGTTTGACCAAGAACAATAATTGTTATCGGAGCATTTTTACAACAAGAATTGGCTTTACTTATAATAATATTATAAGTTACTATACATTTCGTGCACCTAGACTTAAATCAAGAGTATCACTAACTTTTCTTCGTCCCAGAGCTCGTAAAAACAATGTTAAAATTGCCCATTGCTGTTATGCAGCATAACTATAAGACATTAGGGCGAATTTTCGTTAAATGTACATTTTGTCCAGGCAGGTCAATTTGATCGATTTTTTTTTCTTTGTGATAGAACAGTGTAATAAACTGCAAAAAAAGAAATAAAACTTATAGGGTTAATCTGAAATAGGGAAGGAACACAAGGAAGAAATGAAACATTGTCCTCCTCCTAATGCATCTTCCTGAACGTTTTATGACACTTTGCTTTTGACTTTTTCAAACCTAATTTTTTAGAAATACTGTTAAATGTAAATATCTTTTGGCATTTGTTTGGCATTTCTACTATGCTATAATACAAAATGAAAATAAAAAAGTTAACTTCTAAAACAAGAGTTTTATGTAGCGTTTTGTAAAAGACACCAAAAAGTGTACGCAAAAAAATCTTACCTTTAAAATATTTACAAAAAAATTCACACACTTTACACGTGCTCACTTGTTGTTGCCGAACTATCAAACTGGATGCCCTCTAGAAATAAAACGCTAGTATCTCTATCTCGTGTCTCTATTTCGAAAATTTTTGAATGTCAACTTTAATATTTTTTTCTGTTTAAACTACTTTGTAGAAAACTATTTTAGTTTTATATTAGAATAAAAGAACTTTCTATTTTTCAAAAATAATTTATTTTTTCAGAAGAAAGCTGCAAAGAAGAATATAATAATTTAAATTAAAAAATCGCCTCTGGGGACAGTTAGGTTACAGGACATTTCACCTAGTTTTTCTGCCATATACATGTATAGAAACACAAAGTAATTAAAAAAATACGATGGGTCCTAGCAGGAAGGGGCTATTTAAATATAATAAATACAATACTTATCAACAAAGGTCAAAAATAAAAATAAAATTAGCTGGGGACAGCAAATGTACATTTAACGAAAATTAGCCACCTATTCGACATAAATAGGTAACTTCTAAAAACGCTTATTAGAATAGCCAAAAATTTTTTGTTTGAATTGTAAATTGTTGTTTTTTAATTGTATTTTTTTTACTTCTTGCATAATTTAATAATTGTTTTATAACATTTTTTATTACTTATAGCAACTGTTAATTTACTCTAATAACATTGTGTTGTTTTGTAATATTTCTCCTAAAATTGAAATGTAATTGTATTGGACATAAAATAAATTATTATTATTATATATTAATGTATATAAACACATTTTTATTTTAGGGTATCTTTGGCCTATTACTACGGACATATTACATATTATGTACCCTATATCAGTGATTCGGGTACATATCCTCCAGAAAGTTGCATATTTGCACAATCTCTAAATATTATTTCTGCTTTAAGTAAGTTTTTTAGTAAATAAAAATACTTATTAATACAATATTTCTTAATTAATATTAATATTTTGCAGTGGCGTTTATCATTTACGTCCGTTATTTGCAAGTTAACGAAATAATAACTAGGAGCACCGCAAGGCTTGAATCCTACAATAAAATTTGCTTGATATTGGGATTTATTGCGTGCTTAGGTGTAAGTTTAGTAGGAAATTTTCAAGAAACGAACACGCTTGTAATACATTGGATAGCATCAACAATGGCATTCGGGGGTGGATCTCTATATCAGCTTGTTCAGGTAAGAGGAAATAATTTATTGATTTATTGACTATATATTATAATTTTTGAAATAAGAACAACATTTTGCCACATAAAAACACAGATTATGATTAAGTATTTTGTGGCTTTCTCGCTTACCACATTTGGTTGTTTACTAAACCCCATTACATTAACTTTTTCTGTCAACTTGTAAAGTGCGATATCAAAACAAACCATTTAGTAAGGTGAGGTTTTAAAATTGTACTGTAATGAAAACAGTCCGACTCTAAATATAATAAAATCATTCCTGATGTTTACGTTTAAAAGATTGTAAACGTGCCAAAACAAAATATACCACCATTTTCTGGATTTTTGGTTACGTTGTATAAAGAAATAATCATATCAAATTCATCTACATAGCTCATATTAGCAATCTAGTCTTGCTTTCAAAAGTTGTGACACATTTTATGCAAGAATCGGTTAGATGTTTTGAAGTAGATTCTATGAGAAATCATTTAAAATCGTCATTTTGAAACTCCTCAAGATCATCTACCGATAAAGCTTCTGAATTAAATGAGCGAAGTATAATAGAATGTAAGCATTATTCTAACAAAGTTTTCTTAGACCCATAACTTAGAACAATATAAACAAACTCTTACACATAAGTGAGCCCAGTGGTTTGGAACCACAAGTATTCATAACCCATATATATATATATATATATATATATTAGGGTGATTCAAAAAAAGCCTTTTTTTAAAAATGAACCCGCACTGGCCTAAATTATAAAGATTACATTAAAACTAAAATATTGATACCAGAAAATCCAAATTCGATGAATATTTAGAGGTCGCTCAAATCAATTTTCGTATTTTTGCACATTCGAGCCGCGAAATTTTTACTGCACAAAATAGTAAATAACTTCGTTAGTTTTTAATCGATATTATTAAAAATTTAAGGGTTACCTAGTTTTTTAATACCCTCTGAGACAATGTATTGAACTTTACAGAAAAATATTTTTTTTTCATAAAAAAAAATAATTTATTAATAATAACGTATCATCTTATAAAATAAGCAACAATTGGAATCGCACTATGATGGTACCGTAAAAAAACTAAGAAAATAACACTTAAATTATTTAGTATACAGAAAACCTGCCGAAAGAAATATTTTATTTGATTTATATAAAATATAACCTAAAAATAATTAAGTAATTTAGATTTTTTCCATTTTCAAACGATTTTATAAATAATTTATATCCGTTTTATTAATTATGACGTATTTTTATAATATTTCTTTATTTTTGATACCATATTTAATTAATTACACTAGGTAGTTATTAAATTAGGTCCTTTTTACAACTAAAATAAAATAACGTTAACTACAAAATTATTCACTCCTTTAAGCAAAAATTTAAATTTTATTAAAATTATTCACATACAACAATTCTCAAATTTTGATACCAAAATTATTTGATTCTGTCTAGAAGTTGCTAAATTGACATACCACAATAATAATTATTATTCTTAAATTTTGATAGTAGGACCTACTACCAGGTAGTTGATAAATTATATATAAATATAAATATATATATATATACATTAGGGTGCTTCAAAAAAATTTTCGCTCTTACCCTCTCAAATGTTTTTATTTAATATAAAGAAAATCCTCACCAAATATGAGCGTTCCAGCTCAACTCTAAGAGGTCGATGTTTTTATTTTAGTTTCCCATTGAATTAACATGGGAAAAAATAATTTTATATTTGGAATTTTATACCTCTGTATCAAAGTAACTTATGGCAATGATTATTGCAGTTTCTTATATAAAATTTAACGCTCTACAAAAAGGGTCTCTTTATTTTTCGATAAATTGATTTCTTCTAGAGTTATTCGAGGTCAAAGTTTGATTAACATCAAATTTTCTGTTTTTTTTTTTTTTTTAATTTTTTGGTAAAATTAGCAGACTTGAGGTGGAAGTTTGATTAACATGGGACACCCCATTTTGCCCCCCCCCGCTGCCTTGTTTTGCCCCCTTTCACCTCCCGTCTGCTAATTATACCATAAAATTAAAAAAAAAAACAGAAAATTTATTTGTTAATCAAACTTTGACCTCGAATAACTCTAGAAGAAATCAATTTATCGAAAAATAATAAGAGACCTTTTTTGTAGAGCGTTAAATTTTATATAAGAAACTGCAATGATCATTGTCATAAGTTACTTTGATACAGAGGTATAAAATTCCAAACATAAATTAATTTTTTCCCATGTTAATTCAATGGGAAACTAAAATAAAAACAGCGACCACTTAGAGTTGAGCTGGAACGCTCATATTTGGTGAGGATTTTCTTTATATTAAATAAAAACATTTGAGAGGGTAAGAGCGAAAATTTTTTTGAAGCACCCTAATGTATATATATATATATATATTTATATTTATATAATTTATCAACTACCTGGTAGTAGGTCCTACTATCAAAATTTAAGAATAATAATTATTATTGTGGTATGTCAATTTAGCAACTTCTAGACAGAATCAAATAATTTTGGTATCAAAATTTGAGAATTGTTGTATGTGAATAATTGTAATAAAATTTAAATTTCTGCTTAATGGAGTGAATAATTTTGTAGTTAACGTTATTTTATTTTAGTTGTAAAAAGGACCTAATTTAATAACTACCTAGTGTAATTAATTAAATATGGTATCAAAAATAAAGAAATATTATAAAAATACGTCATAATTAATAAAACGGATATAAATTATTTATAAAATCGTTTGAAAATGGAAAAAATCTAAATTACTTAATTATTTTTAGGTTATATTTTATATAAATCAAATAAAATATTTCTGTCGGCAGGTTTTCTGTATACTAAATAATTTAAGTGTTATTTTCTTAGTTTTTTTACGGTACCATCATAGTGCGATTCCAATTGTTGCTTATTTTATAAGATGATACGTTTTTATTAACAAATTATTTTTTTTCATGAAAAAAAATATTTTTCTGTAAAGTTCAATACATTGTCTCAGAGGGTATTAAAAAACTAGGTAACCCTTAAATTTTTAATAATATCGATTAAAAACTAACGGAGTTATTTACTATTTTGTGCAGTAAAAATTTCGCGGCTCGAATGTGCAAAAATACGAAAATTGATTTGAGCGACCTCTAAATATTCATCGAATTTGGATTTTTTGGTATCAATATTTTAGTTTTAATGTAATCTTTATAATTTAGGCCAGTGCGGGTTCATTTTTAAAAAAAGGCTTTTTTTGAATCACCCTAATATATATATATATATATATATATATATATATACGTATAATAATATATATACATTGCACAACGAAAAAGGTACGTGATATTAATAAAAAAGTACATTAAATCAATGAACGACAACATTAATTTTCAGCCTGCAGTTTTAGTGATTTTTTACACTTTTCAAAGCTTTCAAATATACGAATTTTTGAATTAAAAAAAATAATCCTGGTATAGATTCTTTGGGAAATTTTATGCTCTACAAGAATCCGCGACGTAAAAAATTTTATCCCAAACGGTTCAAAAGTTATAGTCTGTTTAATGAAAAAAGATTTTTTTACGTGTTATTATAATGGAAAACTTAGAATGCTCACCGACACCTTTTAAAATTGAGGAAAAAATTTTGCCTTGCAGGGAAATTTTTTGCTCGGTATGTAGGTTCATTTTAACCCATAAATCCGATAGGTTAGTTTTTTTGGCTCACCCTAATGAACAGTCGTTCGTAAATTTTCTTATTCATCAAGTTACGATTTCTGTACGTTAAATCAATGAATGATGAGCATGGATCTATGTTTGACTGTAATTAATACGATAAACAGGTTAACATCAGTTTATGAATGCTGTACGTTAAATTAATAATCTATGAGCATGGATCTATGAACAGCGGTTGTTAATATAACGACCGTTGGACATAGGTTTATGATTAATACGTTAAATCAATAAACAACGTATACGTTGTTTATTATATACATAGATATATGAAAGCATGTTATTATTATTATAAACGGTAGACATTAGTTTATGATTATTTTACATTGAATCAATAAACAGTTACCATAGATCTATGATCCCCTATAGTATTAATACTACAAACAAAAAGGCATTAGTTTATGATTTACTTAAATTTACATAAAATCCAATTAAAATTATTTGCCATTTACTTACCTATTTATTTAAAATAAAGGTTTACTGGGTAGGTGGGTGCATTTTTTTTAGCAACATAGAAATAGGAAAAAAATATATTATACAAATTACCCAGCAATCAATTACAAAAGGGGTTTCTTTAAAATAAAGACGTTTTTGGCGAATACATTTTTTATTGCACGAGAAATTTACAAATAATATGAACCTTTGGGCTCTAAAGAGGTTTACAAAATGCTCTATCTAAAATGTTCCAAAACATGCCTTCCTGTAAAAAGTCAAGATTAAATATATAAATAATTTTAAAACATATATCGACCGCCTTAATTACATGAAATCCTAAATTATTTTATTTAAAATATAAAAAATGTATATTTTAAAAACTAAAAACTCATTCACTTAAAACTTAAAAATAAAATATCCAAAAAAGTCAAAACTGTTTAAAATAACTTCACAAGCTCACACACCTCGGCTTTGTATAGTAGGTGCAAAACTTAAAAAATAATCCGAAAAGGACAAAAGCTTTAGGGTTAAACGCGGAACTATCCTTTTGACGCTATAAGACTGACAAGATAAAAATTGCATGTAATAATTCCCCACCCAGAAGTCGTGCGATGACCTTCGTTCTACGACAGCGATTCGTTATAATAATGTTTATGTTGATTGAATCAGCGTACGGTAGCATTTATTTTGGCGCGTTTTAAGAAGTTAATGGTTAAGTTCGTAAAATCAATGTTTAGTGACCGTTGGGACAATGAAGACAGTGTATTATTATTTATGTTTTGCTGGTGATGGATCTATGACGAAAAATTTATTGTTTTAAAGATAAAGAACATCGTTTAATGATCGTCAATAGTTAATTCAATAA